CACCACCTTGGCCGGTGACCACCTGCTCCATCAAAGGTGGCGCTGAGGGCAGGTCTCCAGTGGACTGCTGCAGACCTCCTGGGAGAAAGCTGGTCCTCATTCTCCTGCTCTTGGAAACAAAATCCTGATAGACTCGTCGTCCCCGGGACCATTGGGAGAACAGAGCCATCTTGGTATGTTGTGTGGTTCTAGGCAAACCCCTTACTCATCTGGACCACAGTTTCCTGCTTTGGGACAGACAGCCTGGTCTGTGGGGTCCCCACTGGTCTGGGCAATGGGTGACTAAGTCCCTCAGGCTTGAGGGAAGATATGGTTATTATGGAAGTAACTCTTCCCAGCACCCATGCTTCCGGGACTGGATGCAGGGCACTTGGCGTTTTGTATGCCCAATCACGGTTGTGTGTCGGAATGGATGTGTGTCATCATTTGGAGCTTTGCACAGCCCAGTGTAAATTCCATCGTTTTAATAACTCTGCCCTGGAAACTTTCATGGCTACTCTGGAAGCCGGTAGGAAGCCTTAATTAATTCTCCTTGTGACCTGGGCAGAGGGGTCCTTCCCGATTTGTAGATATGGCAGCCCAAGCCCAGAACTCTGGACCCTGACTCAAGCGTCGGTGCCAAGGCAGTGTGTGGGGTCTCTCATTAAACGAGTGAGAACAGGGGTAGGGTTTGAGAGTCGGCTCTGTGCCCATCGCAGTTTGAGCTGCTGGGAGAGGGCAGAGGGAGAAGAAACAGTTCTTTGCCTTTGGTTTTTCCATGGGGCGAGAGTGTAGCTGAGCCCCGGCGACCTCTCTGGGCCTTTTGTCAGCGTCCTTCCGCCCCGGGGCTGTCCCGTCAAATCTTTCGCTGGTGAATCAACCTGGCCTCTGGTCCCCGCAGCACTCAGAGCCGGAAGTCGAAGTGAGCCCGAACTCTCTAAACATTCTCCTTTTTCCAGCAACGCAGTACCCACCGGCCTTCGGAGGGGCCGCTGCTACTCCGAGAGAACCCGGCTGGGGGGATGGAGGGGCGAGAGGAGGCTTTGGGTCTAGAACACCCCCGCTTTTTGTGCGCCCTCCTCCTCCTCACCCCCACCTGTTTTGTTTTTTGTTTTTCCACCTGTGCCCCAGACTGGAGCAGGGTGTCAGTGTCTGTGCGTGCTCCCTAGCCCCACCCGAAGGCCGAGTTCCCGCGAGGCGCTCCTCGTGTAGCTGGGGGACCGTGTTTCCCGACTGCGGTCCCCCAACGTCCCCGAGAGCGGAAGGCGCGGGCCCTTTAAATCCTCCGGGGCGGCGGCGGCGGGCCGGGGATGACATCAGCGGGCGGGCCCGGGGCT